GATTTATCCGAATGCAACAGAAACGCTAACCTTCCTCTCTTTCCTTTCACTCGTTATTGAATCCTCTTTGCGGTATCACGGCGTAATTGGCTCTCGCTCTATAAACTCTTACCCTCATGTGAATTGACTTAAATTTAACTCGCCGTTCGCACAGCGCAGTTCGTTACGGTAGCTTCAAAATAGATCTATCCGGCACGAACGGAACGATCTGATTGATTACGTTACTTGCAATTTGCGCATTTTCACGCTGCAGACAAGTCTTGCTTTTCCTCCTCACTATGCGATCCTGCAGCGTGTTTCAAGTGATCACATAAGCTGTCTCGACCGAGCGATCAAAAATATTATATGTATATCAAACACTAAAATAAATACCATATAAATCGAATCATTTCTTGCAATACGCGATTTTGCAAATGGCAAATTTTATCACACCTATCGTAATATTTGTTTAAGCAAATATTACATATAAATTTGAAGGTAATAATCTACGTTGAATTTTCTTTTGTGATGCAGTTTAAATCGATTATCTATATTCTTTATAAGTAATTTCTTTAGTATTTTTTTATTGCGTCTCAATAAAAGGTTATTAAAGGAGAATATGATATTATTTCAGGTAACAGACTGATGTTATTTGTTATTTTGATGTAAAAATGACATTAAAGATGTTATTTTGACATTAAAATGACGATAAGTCAGCTTGCTATCTGGGATATGGCATTTCATTGAAATTTTATACAATAACGTGATTAATAATTAATAAGTATTTAAATTTTAGATTTAACGATTATATTCGTTAAAAAAAAAGTATTGTTTCAGTCAATTCTAGACTCAGAGTTATGAAATATTTATTTTTTTTTTTTTTTTTAGGATACTATTTATAAAAATGTGACGATACTGCATAATAACTTAAAATTTGAAGAGAAACAGGGGTGAATGTGGCCTTTCACAAAAATAGTTTAAAAAAATTGGTTTTGCTTTAGAAATAGTATTTGTTTAAACTAACAATAAAATTAACAAAAGATAAAACATTGTAGAATGTATAAATAAATATAAACATTATAGGAATTTTAAGCACGACCATATGTATGAATACATTAAATACGATAAAGAAAGCCATGATCGATCAAAGATTAGATGTTTTAAATAATACATTATTCTTTTTATTAAATCAATTTATTTCAGATATAATTGCGCACCGATAATTTTTGAACTTTCAACACAATCATTCTAAAACGCTAACAATCCTCTCTCAATTTGATTAAAAAGAAAGAAATTTATTGCGAAAAATGTTACCTCGGCTAAGATTCGAACCTGTAACCTCTCGACTTCCAGGAAGAATATCTCAGTCAAGACTTTAGTCAATAACCGTAATCATATCTGAAATAAACTGATTTAATATAAAGAATATATAATGTATTATTCAAATATTTAACTTTGACCGATCTTGCTTTTCTTTAATGTATATACACACACATATATATATATATATA